TATAGGTACTTACAATGTGGTTTTAAGCAATGAATTGCAGCATTAAATTTTTTTTAAAACCCTAAACTTTACAAAATAGTTGCCATGCACAGGTGCCTTGGTAACTATTTGTATATAAATGATTGAAATTAAGCTTAAGTAGTCTACTGAGAAGGGTTAGAGTAATATTCCATTATAACCTATATTTTATAGATAAGTTAACTAAAGATTAGAGAGGTTAATAATTAGATCTAAGCACACAGCTCGCAATAAGCAGTATTGTTATTTAAACTGCGCCTTCTGATTGTAATTAATATCATCATCATTAGTTAACTCAAGGTCAGAGGAAATGGTAGAATTCAGAAAACACCACAGGACATAAACCCTTTCAGTACTAACTACCTGCTTTAGACAGCTTCCCGGTACTCCTGGTACTGGACGTGCTGTCACCCCTGGTCAGCACCGTGATGCCCCCAAAACTCGCCGTCTTGGTCATGGCGGGCTTGAGATTGCGGTTGGAGCTGTCAGAGTCTGTGCTGCTCCAGGCCCTTTGGTGATCGGACCACTTGAGTTCATTCTCAGAGCTGCTCTGCCGACTCCCGGACGTTCTTCCTGAGCCATCTCTGTTGCCCCTGGAGCACAGCCATCAGAAAGATGCACAGGCACAATGTGACGTTCCAGGAGCAGTATGGACACAGAGTGGGACCTTTCTTGGAAGAGTCATCTACACCAAACCCTTCCTGTCAACCCCTCCATTAAACCTGTCGCCTCACAAACAGTGCTGCAAATATCTCACTGATGCACAGACAGATAACACATCACACATAACACTCATGTTAGAAACAGAAAAATAACTAAACCTAGAAATGTCACACAATCCCTCTGCCAGTGAAGGACAAACTAGAAAAACATGGTACAAAATATTGTTAACTTCTGTCGTGGAGAGGAGAGGGGGATAAATTCTCCTCATCAAAATAAACCATGAGTCAATATTTGGAAACAATTATGATCCTAAAAGTAGTTCCCACCTAAGAAGAGTTTTGTCTCTCCCTTCAGCTTCAAATAATTGGACCATGGAAAAATGCACACAGTTCCAAGAAGCCATTTCTTATTTTCTACCTTTATGAGATATATATCTGAATTCATTAAGGCTTTGATGGACAGCACAGAAATCACAGAAATTACTCTGTTAACCTATGGTGAGACTTTTGCTCAGTGAGTTTAACCTTCACGGGCAGAGGAAAGAGCCTTTTAATCCTTTTCATATGGAAAAGTTTGTGATAATATCAACAACAGTGTAAACAGTATACTGACATGAAATGTTCTAAGGGGATCGATGGAAATAACAAAAAAGCTCCAGAGGTGAAAAAACACATTTGTTCAAAATTCAAAAATAATGAATGTATTGGAAGAGAACCAATAGCCAGAAGGGAATTTTGAAGACTCCAGAGAATCTCTAAGTAGTGTGCAAAATTGCATGTCTTTTTTAGAGCAAGTCGATGAAATTTGCATTTTCATTGGTTTCCAATCTGCTTAAAGAGTAACTGAGTTAATATTTTCAAGGCTTTTTCTGCAGTTGGAAATAATGGATAATTAAAATATTCTGATTCTCCTGGATTACAAATAAGTAAAGGGGACATAAATCATGGGCAATAGATAGAACCCCTCATTTCATATCACTATGCAACGTGACATACTCATTGCAGATAAATAATGTTAATAAAGTTTTCTAAAGACAATAATGAACTGTTGAGATGTTAGAAGTAAGCGTATCTGTTTGAAACACTCACCAACCAAATTGTACAAAAGGTACCCAGAAAATTTTAGGTTTTACTTCAACTTTACTTACTAAACTTATCTTATAAAAACTTAAGATGGTAAATGGGCCCAAGAGATAATAAAAATGAAATAGCTAATATGTGATATGAACTTTGTAAAGTCAGGGGAAGAAGTGGAACAGAAAACTCACAAAACAAAAAGCACTCAGCGCCCTGCTATCTTTTGTCACTGTTTTCTTATAAACACTCTCTGTTCCCAGTACCTCAGGATGAGCGATTTTAAAACAAGGACCATCTAAAAAAAGACAAGTTTGCAGAGTAGGAAGTAACAAACACCTAACCATGGCCAGGTGACTTTAGTTCTTAAGCTCCTTTAAAAGTCAAGAAAGCCAGAGGAGGTAGTGTGGAGGAAATCTCATTTCTGCTAAAAAGATTAGCAGTTTTTCCATTCCTGATTGTTTTCTTTTCAATCTCCAAATTCAACTTCATTCTTTTCTTGTATAATTCTGATTCTTTTGACTCATCTTCAACAAAGCCTGGCTAAATCCTTATTTAGCAGTTGTGAATGCACAAGAAATGTGACAATAATCCCACTTGTAGCTATTCTATTATAGAAAAAGATTTGAGGTGCTTCTCAGCATACAGGATGCATCCTAAGGAAACTTTCATGTGGGAGTGATCATAACTAATTCTGCTTCAACAATCCCTCTCCCCATGAACTCTGCACCTCTATGGGAGAATTTAGACTTCCTCTAGATGCCTGTGTGACTGGGCCTTTCTTCACAAAGGAAGTGTCCACTACTATTATTACTGAGTGCAAACCAATTTGCACCCTTCACTCTGGCAGAGCTGTTTCTTGGACACTGGTAGTTCCTGTAGACTTGTGTCCCAACCCCTGGATAATAAGGCAACCTAAAATCTCCTTTGCTTCTTCCACCTCTACTCCACCAACTCAAATCTTCATCCGGCATCAAGATCTGTGCATTTTCAAAGAGGAGATTTAACTTGCTGCTTTAGAGACAGCATTAATAAGATTTAAAATAATACCTCGAATTCTAGTTTATGGTCTCTAAATTTTGTAATGCTCTATTGATTATTCTCCTTAACACTGGCAAGGCGAAGTCCAGAATTAAACTTCACATCTATTTGGGTGTGGAATCATAAGCATCATAAAATAAACATATCCACAAGTATCTTTCCATCCCTCCTAAATCCAGTCCTAGTGCCTGCCAACTGGTAACCTGAAGACAAAAATAATGAGTTGTTTGGTCATCAAGAGGAGTTGGCCCTCTTACATGTAACTAGAATGGGACCCTAGAGTAGCTATAAAGTATATACTCTCAGTTGTCTTTCCGTGCTAATTAACATAACGGATAACAGTTATTTTCCTTTTTGCCTGAACATAACATTTTTTTTTTTTTACCCACGTTATGATATACATTTAGAATTACTTTTACTGTTGTGTGGATGGCTCTGTGCCTAATCATTTTCCTGAGTTTCTATGCTTGGTGATTTAGGTGGGCAATGGTGTCCAGATTTGAGATAGCTGATCTGAGTAGATGGTAACTCTGGCTAGGGATTATATTTAGGGCTATGTAAAATTAATTGGCCTATAAGGGGCAAGAACCAGTAATTTATCTATATTGCCTAAACAAACCAAGTCATGGTATGTGAGCGTAGAGGTACTGGTAAATTCTAGTTCTTCTCTGGGTTTTCAAAGGGAAAATACAAAGTTATTTTCTTAATCTTCAAGTGTGAAAAGTATCTAATGATATAAGAAGGCATTAAAATTTGTAGTTCAATCTAGAAATATGAAGAATGTTAAAAAAAAATAGATACTGTTTTTTGTTTCTGCCAAAGTATAAATTAGAAAAGTGTCTACCTTTTCTAATGATGAGATCCTAAATTCAGATTTACTGCAAAAAGAAATTTTCTAAGCAAACAATCCATTTGTTTTTCTTAGTATTTTCTTTTTTCTAAATGGGCAAAGGTTTTGTTTGTTTGTTAGTTTTGCCTTTCCTGCAACAGAGATGAATTCTAATATGTATAAAAGCACTAACATATTAATATATGTTAGGTATTGAGTATATATAGTAATGTATTAGGTATTGAGTATATATAGAGCACTACGTATCTTCTGTTTTATAATGGATGCTAGAGATACATTTAATAGAGTATTGAGAAAATGGGCATGATCCTTCTGCTTTCATGGAGTTTCCAGCCTAGTTTACAACTTAAAAAATATATATAATTATAGTTATTAAAATCTAATAATTATGTTATATAATATGATTTAATATTATAGATAATTATATATATAGATGTACATATCATCTATTACTCTTATCCCACACAGATCTTGCTTAAGTAGTTCATTATAATTGGAAGCAATCCCATATTTTCCTTTAGAAATAAAATCTGTGCTTGAAAAAATACTGTTTGAAATATTATGATGGATACTAGTAGCTAAAAATCAACTACTCAGATAGAGTTATCATTGATTTGTTTCCAGTGTTGGGAATGTATATACGATTGCAACCTGTCAGAGAAATTTTAACTATTTAATTCACCAAAGTTGTTTTGGGAATGTTAAATCAGTGTGCTTCCAAAGTTAGCCTTTTAGAAATAACCGAAAAATCAGAGGAATGACCTTAAAGGATTGTATCCAAAGTAATGGTCTTTCAGTCCCACATCTCACATTATCCAATATGGCTTCAACATTAGCTCTGTAACAAGCTTTACGATGTGATAACCAAACACATTTTATTTCATGAACAGAGATATTTTACACTTACACACTTAAATTTAACATTGATTTTGCCACATAATCTGAAAACACAGTTTTAAAAAAGTAAACCATACCAACCGAAAGAGCTGTCTTTTCTTATAGGTCTCATTGCATATGTTACTGTCTTCCAAGACCCTACTGGAAATGAAAAACATGATTTTTATGATATCAAATCTAAGAGTACTAAATGGATGTGTATTCTACTATAGTAGCCCTGTCTTGCAAATCAATCCCATATACTGTTTTATTTGCATGATGTTGAATTATTCCATAATATATCAATGGCAACATGGTTTTCCCTTTCCTAGGATTCAAACACTGATGCTAGATAAGGGAGAAGGAAGAGAAGAGAAACTAGAGGAAGTGAGAAAAAAAAACTGATATAGATATAATTGATATTTAATTAAATATATGAGTTGTGATCTTTTTCTTTGCATAATATTAAAGTTATTCTTTATTTCTTGAGTATAATAAAATATTGGTATTCCAAAGGCAGGAATCCAAGAAATATATTTATTTTTGTAGGGAATTCACTCAATTAAATTTTTGCTTTGGGGGAACATCAAAACTTATTCATAGATGCAATGCATGAATGTGACCAATTATTGTATTGGTGAATATAATCTAATTTGAATATAAGGGGAAGATGAGTACATTAACAGTCTTTTTATACTAAACCCAAGTAAGTGAATAAAATTAGAGAGTAAAGTAGGAAAAAATGATTGGCTAGAAGACTAGGGAATAAGATTTCCCATTAAATAATAGATGTTCACTTAATCTTATGAGTAAGGATATAGAATTTTGGAATGGTTCAGAATCATCCTTAAGATGTTACTGCTCATGGATTCTTTACTGTAAATAAAGAATCCTTTTCTGACTCTGCATGGATTTTTAAGGTCATTTTTGAATGCCTAACGTAGATTTGTTTTCCAATTTCATCTCTTCTAAAAGAAGTCTATTCAGATGAAGGACTTAGTTACTTGAAGGTTTCTAATTGCTAATATGAATGATGGCATTTTTTTTTCACCAATCATTTCTAATGCCCAGTTTAAACTTTCTCTAAGTACTGGAATTTAATCAAACAACCTCCCTTTTTACCAATTTTATGCGGGCACCTATTAAGCCGACACCTGAAATAAAATAAACCACAACATTTTTAATGGATACCATATTTCCATTCCAAGTTGCCCATTATGAAGCATCTTTAATGTAATTAGTACAGCAAATATGAAATCCCTCAATTTCCCTTAAAAATCTGCAATTAAATCAGTGGAGCATTTTTCATACCTATGTCAGTTTAGAACTATTTAAAAAAGGTATATAAATTTTATAACCTATTCATTTCATCACAATCACCTCCCCCTGCTAACTCCCAAGCCAGGTGTACTGCATAATTCAGACCAGTTTAAATAAGATTTCAAAGTTAGGCCTTTTGTGAAGACCGATAGATCATTTAGAATAAGAAATTTAAACAATATTATTCAAATTATTATTTGCATAGCTACACACAATTACAGGGCACGAGAAGTGGCTAATAATACCAAGTATACAAGTACTTTTAGCAGCCTATTCAATAAGCCAATGAAACTGCAAGTTCCTGTGTGGTCTCAGTGTTTAACGCCTGGCACAGGTGATGGAAATCACGCCTTTGAAAAAACCAGGAGTTGAGACTTTAAATAAGAAAAATATTTAAACTCATGTTTGGAAGTTACTGAGAGAAGTTTTTCCCCCAATTAAATAATTTTTAGACATGCTAAATAACATATATGTGTGCATATATATGTGTGTTCGCATAGATATATGTATTTATTTATACATATATTCAAGCACGCACTTATATATGGGATATATATATATCTATATATCTATATATATATCTATGAATATACAGGACACACATGACAGAATTTATTCCTCTAAAGACATGAAAAAGCAAATTTTGTTTTACCTGTTTTCCACAAAAAGGCTTTCCTGGGAGCAAACTGACTGAAAAATAAAAAAAGGCATTGTATCAGACGTTCTGGATATGCTGAGGGATCCCAAATCCTTGCCTGATTTTAAAACTACTTTTCTCCTCCAAGGAGAAAGGAATTAAGAAAAATATGTACTGTTTTTAGAAAAGAAAAAAAAAAGAAAATAAAAAAGGGGAAAAAATAGGTTAGAGTTAAAAGTGGAATTATTCTCATGCAGCACACAGTCCTTTCCCTCAGAGCATCTCCAGGTTTCCAACAGATTTAACCCGTACAGAATCAAGGTCAGGAGAGAGATACTGTGAATGAAACTGCTGGAGGAACGTGTGACCCTCGTATCCTGAGCTAGAGGTTTCCTCCAGGGCTGCGGAGATGCAGCCATCAACAAGAGCCAAAATGAGAGGTTCAAATCAAGGCAGAGCATGCAAGCTTGGCATGATCCACTTGAGGATGGGAGAGCCGCAGAGCCACAATCCTACAATTATTACTCCGCAATGATAAACGCTCACGAAATAAATAGATTGACTGCAAGACTCTCAAAACTGAAGAGATGCCATCAATTGATCTTAAGGGGAGAAGGGTAGAAGACAAGTGAAAACAAAACGAAGCTAATTAGAAAAAAAAAAAAATGTCACATTCCATCTAAGATTTCTTAGTTTTTCACACAGAAAACCAACTGACTTCTTAGCTTGTATTCCTGTAGCATTCATTTCTCTACTATTTTGTGTTTAATACACAATGTAGGGAAGATAAAATCCATCATCATCACATCTGGGAGAAAGGCAGACCAAATTAAAATTTAACAAACAGAAAAGAGAAGTCTCAACAAAATATGGTTCAATGGTCCTAAAATACAGAGACTGTTTAGGAATTAAGATAAAACTATTTTCAAAGTATTGTGTTTCTAAACATAAATATATACACCACATTATAGTATAGATTTTCTAAATGATGAATTAGCGACCTGCTAAAGGGATAGAGACTTAACAGGTCCACTTTAAGGTAAAATAAAACTAAAGAAATAATAATGACCTTTCAATATTGAATTCTCGAATTCAAAGATGTTACTAATGTAACCACCTCTCAGAGAGGCAAGCAGGAGATTGATTTCTCGTTACGTTTTTCCTTCCAGTGAGCCAAAGGGCTTAATTGGGCATAATTTCAATGAGGGCATCTCTAGAACCATTTCTGTGTTAACCTCTGTACATTTAACATGCATTCTGAATTTCAGGTGTGTCAAAACCTTATTTAACAAAAAGCTTTTTTCTTAGTCAATTAAGAAAAAAGCTTTTCAGAAAATATCTTTTTTTTCGGGGGGGGGGACATTTAATCTTATATAGGGAAACAAATAAAAATGACGTGCCACTGACATTATTCCTGTGAAGTTCTGTTCACAGTACACAAGCTATCCTACTGTCTTTATTTCTTTTAGTTTGCTTTTACTACTGGCTCGAGTCAAGTCATAGCATGTGAAAGGAGTGAGATTGTCTCAGAGACACATTACGAATTCAGTTCTTTGCTACTTCTCAGCTCTAGTCATCAGAAAGAGGTCAGTTACACTTATAATGTTCTGGCTGGGTACTGGAATTACTGAGACTCTACCATTACTTCGAACGAGTTGGTCAAAGACATACTGACCTCTTCAGACTCATTAATTGAAAAGCATTTTGGGAAGAGTTAACCAGCCTGAACTTTTTGTATTACCAAAAAGAAAAAAAAAAAGTTCCTGCAAGTCAAAGATAACTTATTCCAAAACACATCTCAAGTATATTTTTCTGATTTTTGTGGAAAGGTCATAAAAAATCATCTCATCATCCCTCCACCACTTTTTCATAAATATGACAGAGATGGTTATGGGCCGTGATTCACTAATTGATGAATATAAACTTAAAAAATGTAGTATTAATAACTTGCCCATTTTAATAGCAGAGGAAAGGAAAATTTTCACAGGAATTAATGCAACATTCGAAGCTGTCACTTATGCATTCTCAGATATAAAGGGCTCATTTTTTTAAGGAGAAAAATAATTTTGCCTCATGGGTTACAGAATCCTCTCCCACGTCCACCCCCAATCCAGGTGGCACCTCGTGCCCTATCAGTTCTCTCTGAGGAAGAATCGCAGCACATGCAAAAGGCTGAGCTCCTCCCGAGTCCTATTATACATAAATATCCTTCAGAAATTACCCTTCAGGCAAAACATGTCTTTTAAAAATATATTGTTTTAGCAACCTAATTTTCTCAAAGCTAGCAAACTTGCATAAGATTAATCATAAAATAAACTGAAATTCTTGCCAACCGAAACACGAATTATATTTCCAATATTTGACTACAAAAATGCATTTATTTATGATTTGAGTACTAAATTGTTGTGTGCTCTGACTTTGAACAATTTAGTTCTCAAATCATAAGTAAATTTGTTTTATCTCAAAACGCCAAAATTCTCAAACTATATTTGAGAAAATCTTGAAGTAATCTGCATATTTTGATTGTGCACCTACATACAAAAGCACATACATAGAAACACCTTAGACACCAAGATTCAGTTGTAAAATATTCAAGAACATATCTAATTTTAGAATAAATTTGGATTTTGCTGAAATGTAAATACCACGAAGTATTTCCCTATAACTCTCTAATGTAACTTCAAGTAAGAAAAAAAAATTCTACTTAACTATATCAACATTTGAACCTATTGGAATGACTCTACTGTTTAATAACTAGCAAGGAAAGCTGGTTTTATTACCTAAATTTTTAAATTATGAAAACACTAAATTAAAGACCAGCTAAGAAAAAGATTAGATGTCTGTAACTTAATTTCCTTATGCTGGATTCTTTGCATTCATTTTACAATTGACTTAATAGAGTTTAATTATTATCTTCTGCAAGTCAACAATAATGATCATTTGGGGATCTGGGATTGCATAGATGAAGGGTCTTGTCTTCATGTAAGTGATCAGAAAGATCTGTTGCTATATGTAGTCAAGAAAGTTCATAGTGCTGTTAGGTCCTTGAGTTTGTGCTTTTAGAGGGGGATGTCGTAATATCCTATTCATACAGGGTCATCCTCAGTGATCCTCACCTCTGGTGTTTACTGGCCCGTGCAGTACCTCTCAACCGTATAAGTGATGGTCTGTGTGTCCAACAGAATACAGCAGAAGGGAAGGTATGTCACTTACAAGGTTGGTCATAAAAGACTGTGGCTTCCATTTGCTGCCCTCTCTCTTTCTCTCTTGGATCACTTGCTGTGGGGGAAGCTAGTTGCCATGTCTTGAAGACACACAACAGCCTATGCAGAGGCCCACAGAATGGGTACTCAGATCTCCACTTGCAGCCAGCAAGGAATGAGGCCTTCCAACAGGTGAGTTGGGAAGCACATAACCACTCCAGCCAGCCTTTAGGTGACTGCGGCCCCAGCTGACAACTTGACTGTCACCACATGGAAGACCTTGAACCAGAATCACTCAGCTAAGCCATCGCCAGATTCCTGACCCATGGAAACTATGAGATAAGGAGTATTTTTTGTTTTGTTTTATTTTAAGCTGACAAATTTGGGGATTGTTTGTTAGCAGCAATAAATCTCTGAAACATGGAACACCTGTGGTACTGCATTATCTGCAGTAGTCGAATAGGGAGACAGATGCTGGGCCGTTTTTTCCTCCTCTGGAAGAGTGTCTCTTAGCCCTTAAAAAACTTATAACATAAAAAACTTATAACATAATAAACATTAGAGACTTTTTCCTTAGAAAAATGTATGTGTGCTCATGAGCATATTTTGCAAATGATATCAGAGATTTTATTTAATCTCTGCAGCCCCTCTATGATATCCTCTGGGTACAGAATACCAATTGAAAAACCTCTGCCCTAGAAGAGCAGGTGAAAAGTAGTATGGTAAACAAGCCAGAGCCCCAGTTGAATTAGTAGAGCTGGAAATGTTGGCCACCGGATAGCCTTGCAAAGGAGCTCACACCTCTATTCCTGCAGAGAGAGGAAGCCATAGCATTTTCAAGAAGGCTGCCAAATAATTTTATGGATTGGGTAGACTATGGCAATAGCTTGGCACTGAAGCTTTCTCACATTTAAATCTGCTTTTACTTTAAAAAAATGTTAATACAGCATATAGCCATTCGAGGCTTTAAACAGCAACACTAGCCTCCAATCTTTAACCTGAGACCCAGGTCCCTCTCTATGAATCTCCTTAATAGGGACATAGGGAAAGGAAGTTATGCTCATGAGACTCCACAAAGTACAGAAGCACAAGTGTCATCCTCCCTGCCAGAAGGTATTATGAAGTTACTTTCTGTAACCTTGCTCTTGAATATCTGGGAATATCACAACTTTGGGGGAGAAAAGCATAATGTTGTTTGGGCCATTAGTGTCTGCTTTTGAAGATAACAATTCATTCATAAATTATATGGCTTGCCCGAATCAGAGTAAGAGGAAAATGTGTGTGAGAGTGTGTGTGTGTGTGTGAGAGAGAGAGAGAGAGAGAGAGAGAGAGAGAGAGAGAGAGAGAGAGAGAGAGAGAGAGAGAGAGAGAGAGAGAGAGAGAGAGAGAGAGAGAGAGAGAGAGAGAGAGAGAGAGAATGAATAGAAAATGAACGGGCCTTCAGAAAAGTTTCTCTCCATGAAGGTCACCAGACAGGACACGCTACCTCCAGTCCACAAGAGGCACCCTTACTCTAGCACAACAACATAGATCCTATCATTACTTCATTCTTGTATCCAGCAAACACAGCTAAAGGCTTCACATGTGTCAAGCTGTGCCATCAATAATTCTGACCATAATAAACATCTAAGTAGTCCACGCATGTGCAGAATCTTCTAGAACTGTATCCGAACATCATCCAACTACTTCCATCTCCCTCTGTCTCACACTTCTAATTCCAAACTTTTGGGCCAGATTGTTCAATCATCAAAACTTGATTTTAATGTATCTGAGAAAGGCAGAGAGGATCAAAAGAGATAACAGAAACCCGTATAAATGCGAAAGAAGGACAGTGTTGCTTCCTCTGCAGCATCATATTAAAGGATCCGGCACTCACCAGAGGGTCTAGGAAACTGGCTTGGGCTTGAAACCTGTAAGGACAGCAGTTCTCCACACTAAGCACCGAAGCCTAGGTCTCTAGGCTGGCTTCCTGGAGGCAATGGCCTCCACGAGCAAATCACAACGGGAGGGCAGATGCCCCACCTGACTTAGTCAGGCTGGAAGTGTGGGCCACAGAGAGTCTGCACAAAAGAGCTCACACCTCTATGCCTGCAGAGTGACAAACCCACATTTTAGGAGGCAGCCGAAGAATTTCATAGAATGGAAAAGCTATGGCAATAGCTGCCCTTCTCATTTTCTTATATTCCATCTAACTTTTCTTTTCACCTTTTAATTTTAATGTAATTTAATTACATTTTATTTTTGCCACAGTGGGTAAAAAGTTAAAAACAGTCCCTACCACATCTTATTTGTTGGGATTTAAACAAAAAGACATTTTTTAAAATCATTATTCCCTTGAAGATTATTCACAGAACTAACGTTGTTTGAAATTGAGGGGGAAAATGAGTATTATTAAAGTTTGATGTAATAAAATGTCCATACTTATTTTGAATGTAATACATTAGTGTGTATGTGATCAATAGACTCTTCTTTCTTTTTTTTTTAGTAATTCCTCTGCACGATGTTGGTATTAAAAAGACAACAATGTGGTATCTGCTGGCTAACGTGGACATAAAAGCGGTTCTTCAAATCTGGCAACCTGTCTCTGTACTGAAAGGCTATTTAACTGGCCAAGATTATACCACTCTTCCCACACAGGTCACATCCTAGGGACACACGCAAACCCCTGACGACTTTTCCATCACTTCCCTGAACCGGGGTCCTTTTCCAGAAACACCTCTAGTTTGCTGCAGTTCGATTTGTTCCCTGGCTCCAGCTTCCTTTGTCCCTGCCAGCTCACTGTCTGGGGAATGAGGCTGCCTTGCTGCTGATGGAAGGACCGCACTGAAGAGGCAATTAAAACAACTACTCACATCGTGTGCAAATATTCTCTCCCTCACTCTCTGATATTCCTCTTCTCTCTCTTCAATTGATTTACTTCGTCTGTCATCTCTAAATGGATGCATTCTGTTTTGCTGAACAGAGAAAAGAAATCAGGAGGGTTATCCAAGTTGAGCTGTTAGAAATCTGCAGTTAAGCAACTGTCAGCTGAGAATAATAAATGTTCACTTAAACAAATGAACAGTCTCACTCCCTCTGGTCCCTAAGGAAGCTGTGGTGGGGTACATGTGTGCCGTGTGTGCATGACGAGCAATGTCAGGAGATGTTTGCTGCTCAAGGTTGCTTTCTTACTGGATGTAAGTAGCCTGGGTGTTTCCGGAATGAAAGACTTGGGTGTGCCTCAGGTGTTCGGCCAGTTCAGCTATGTGATAGTTCACCAGTGATGGACTCTGTTACCTTTGCTAATCTGAGTGATGTTGACTCCTCAGAAGGAAGAAGAATGTTGCTGAAAAAAGAGGAAGTGGCTAGATCAAGGTGGCTAAGGGAAGAGATGGCTTTGAAAACTTGGGGACTGGAGAAACTGAGCAAGGGAGTAAAGAAAGTAATGGGTGGAAAAGAAGATGTAGACAGTATTTCCCTATATCCTAATTTTTTTTTTTCACTCAGTGACTGATCCTGGGAATTGCATCTGGCATAGAAAGTAGGAACTAAATTTGAATTCTGTTTGTTGATTAGGGTCAATATCAAGAAACCTAAGCTAACAATTCAAAGAACCCAGCATGAGGACGACTCTTCCTCATCCTTTCATCTGAACCACATCTGCATCTAAACTACTCTCCCACTTCCTTCTTATTATTCCTTACAAAATGATCTGCCCTGACCACGTTCATCCATCCATTCAACAAATACCACTAAGCACACGACACAGGCACATGTTTCAGAGTCAATGCCACGGTGTAGCTCGGTGGTGGTGGGAGGAAACGAGATACAAAATGATGAACAAGTTAAAAAAAAAGTGCGTCAGAGATGCACATACTGGCTTACAGTGACTCACTGAGAATAATTAAAATAATAACTTGAGTGAGATGCTTATTATCTTGCCCTTAAGAATTCTAAAGCAAAGTCATTTTCAGAAAAAAAAAATCTATTTTGATTGTCAGAGACACGAAGTGTAATTGTAATGGCATTTATGTAACTTTCTACTGTTCTTATTCTCATTTAAAATTTGTTTTCTTTTGCCATTTACATAGTTTTCTTCCTAACCGCTCTGGATCCCATGTCCCCATCTACAGAAGAGATTTAGTGAAGTATCTCTACCCTTATTGAGGTATTGTGAAACAAGCTTCTCTAGAACAACATAATGTTTTATCACAAGCGAAAAACACATAAAGAGAAAGTCCTGCTATGGTTCATGCAAAAAAAGCAGACAATTTACACGGACAATAAAACATGGGAAAGAGAAGGGTCGGGTGACTAAAACATAAACTTGATTCTTTCCTGTGAAGATTTATTTTAGGATAGTTGCAAAATCCACCTGTCCTCACCATAACAAGGTTTGTTCTTTACACCAGTTGGTCATCGGTCCGTTTTGATAATCCAGCTCAATTTGTGCACAACTGAAGGACAAAGCTGTAGGGAGTGGAACGACTGCCATAGTTACACAGACATCTGAAAATGCGACTGACAAAGCTTTTTCCAACAGCTTGGAGCCTGTGGCATCCCAACCTCCCAACACATGCAGCAGGAACTGCGCCAAGCACCACCCATGCAGCCCAACACAGAGCCATTGCTAAAGCAACCAGGACAAGGAATTTTTGCTACCCATCGAATGCCAAAGGGGGAGGCGAGGTGGGGCAAGGAGGTTGGAGAGAGGACAGTAGTATCAGAGGCAGGGAGAGTTGGGAGAGGGAGAAAGGGACAACAGAGGAACGACAAGAACATCAGTCAGCCCACCTTCAAAAACAACGTCAGCCACTCTCAAACTTGAGAACCAACCTGATTGTCTTCTTTATCAATACTAGAGTTATCTCGCTTCAAGATAAACCGCTTCTGGGATTCTTCACCTTTTTCATCTTTTAAATGTTCACAAAACCTTTGCTCTGGTCTGCCAGCAAAGTAAAACATATCAATAAAAAAGTTTTTGCCCCTGTTTAAAGATATTTCTTAGTGATGTTTTCCCCCACTGTGGCATTCAACTTAAAAAAAAAAAAAAGAAAGAAAAGTTTACATGTGATTTTGATCCTAGAATCGCTGGCAATATACAGGAGGGTAAGAACATGTCACTTCACAGATGTTGTTAGAATACCTTTGGCTGTTTTGAATTTGGAGTCTTGTTTGCTGTATGTTGCTGAAGTAAAAAAAAATATTTTAAAGGCCTGTACATATAAAGTGTGTAGATGTTTTCTATAATTATTTGGACCTCTCTCACTCTTGAATTTAATCAAGTCCCCACTCATATTCTAGAACAAATATACATGTTTAGAACTTGGGAGTAACACATTAATTCACCAATGTCTGGAAACTAGAACACTTCCCATCATATCCTCTCTTTCAAGAGACTTCTTAATTCATAGTGAGTAAAGATAATAATAACTTATAAATTATTTCCATCTTTCTCCAATGACAACTGCTCTGGAATCTGGCTCCAAGAGGATCTGACATCAATGACCATGTCCTGTAAATCAGTTCAGTAATTGTAGAAACTGGAAATATTTAGCTTAAACAACTTAATGACTGATTAGCATGGGGAAAATGCTCCAGGCGGTTACACACTATCGATCACTCAATTGATTTTGTTAGGTCCTCTTAATCATTTTGTAGTATTACAGGAAAGGGTTTCACTTCCTTGTTAATTTCCCATAATCGTCACAGCACTCCACAGAACTCAATGAATGACTTGGGTTTGGGTTCATCCCCAGAAGAGGTACTAAAATATTTGCCCTGGGTTGAGAAGCAGTTGTAATTTATGACTCTCATTTAAGTGTCTCTGTCATATCTGATGTATTACTTCCGAAGCCCAGTGGGTTTTCTGTCCCTGTTGGGTTCATTATGCATTCAGACATTGAGAAGACACTTCACAGTGTCTGTTGTTTAATATGGGTGACCAGTAATTAAGGGAATCTCATCATTTTCTTATAGATCCAAAATAAGCAAATAGCACTTTGAAAACAAAGGATTAATGAGACGTCCTTTCCTTAAATACATGTACATAAATTATAATAATATTGGTGAACAGGCACTAACAGAAAACTGGAACAATACCAGGTATAGCTCCTAGAACTCCATATATTTGCAAAGTGATATCACTATCTTATTCAATCCTTACAATAACACTTTTATGTAAGAGGAGCAAATATTTTTTGCCTCTTTTACAGATAAAGAAACCATCCCTCAATGATCATTTTGTTTCCAACTTAATAGATTTGCCCACTAAGTCACAGGCATCAGTCTATTCATGTCCTTATAGAGATATGATTCAGTTTCTCTTGGCTTTTATATAGCAGACAGTGGGCCAGAGGCCCTCAAATTTCACAATAAAGAACAAAAACCCCGCATTACATCATCTTAAAAATCAATGTAAACGTTTTCCATCAAAATTAAAATTTAATAAAATGTGACAACAATCTGGAAGTGCAAAAATGACATTTTAAAATCAGAACACTAAGGGAGCCAAGTAAACTTGTATTTTACAGCAAAGAGGCCATGTACAGTAGAGAAATTAAACATTTTGGTGTGGCATAGTCACTTAGATTACTTATTATAGTGTAAGCTCTTATAATATTAGCACGAAATAGTTTTAGCTCACTGTAAAAGATAACAATTCTCCTGGAATATTTTAAGCATCTCAATATTTTTGACCAATACTTAGATGTTATATTGCTTTTCATGTAGTGAGTGAAATTACGATATTAACTTAAATACAAATGCTGATTCTATCGACGCTAATTAAGTCCCTCCCAATTATCACCGAGCTCTGATGAACACTAGTAAACAAAATTATTTGCTCGCTGCTAAATTTACAGATATGTTTCTTGTGTTAATAGTTTGTAAATGTTCTTTTAGAAATAAAGTGGTACGAGAATGTGAACTTTTTGATTTGTGAGCATAAGGTGAATTTGCTTTAGATTAAATTATTCTTTAAAAAGGAAACCATTTATGGTGAGATTTCAGCATACTAACCACAGCTGGAATGTAAGTTCTGTGTTGGGTGGGACTTTGTTTTTTAAACACTTACTCCTTGGTGCCCAGAACCATACCTGGCATACAGGAGCCCTTTGGTCAAATGCATCAATTTTGAATGAATAAAAACTTACTACAACTGTATATAAATCACTGTAATTCAGGGACAGATCAAAAGGTCACTGAATAAGATATGTAGTCATAAATTTTTAAGTTACAAAACAGAACAAGAGTTTGTTTAGTGGGAATATAAATTTAAATTTAGAATATTAGGCAGATCTTTAAAATTCAAATTTATGTTTTGCTTCAAGTTGACCCCAAATACTCATGTTAATAAAGAAAAGTTTTTAAAATTTGAGAGTATCTTGGGAAGAAAGTGGACATGAGAGTCTTAGTTTTTCTAGTTTGGGAATTTCTCAGTTTATAGTGTTATTATAGCTACAAGAGAGCTATTCAAATATTTTTGAAATTTCGTTTGCATTTCTTCATAGTGCTGGTTTATTTGCTGTTCATAGCAGGACATATTTAGGAAAAATACATACATCTCATAAGCAAAGAGTAGTCAAAGAGCTTGTTCTAATCAATAATGTCAATATTATTCAGAGTAAGAATATTTCTTACTCTAATATAAATTATGCAAAGTGCAATCTCCATAACTGCTTTTCAAATATCTCATTTAATTTTTTTCAAACATTAGAAACTAATGGTTGAAATTATTAATACCTTCATGATTTTCCAAAAATATTTTGAGCGATTATAAAATAACAGTTTAAATTTTTGTAAAAGGAATAAAATAAACCTAATAAGATTTTTCTAGGTTGATTTTATAGAGAATTAGTTAATACTTTAGAGCTGAAGAGCAATTTGCAATTAAAACTCATGAAAACTAAAGAATATAGCTGAAGTATAACATGCGATTAAACTAAAAACTACCAGCAATGCACCATTATATTACAGCTTTAAAAATCCTTTTTATCACAAATTTTACATCATAGAAATATTATCTTTTAGCCATAAAATGAATAGAACTAAAGTAATATATTATGACTTTAAAATGACTTTAAAAAAAAATGAGAATGAATTACTTTTAATGTATCAACATATGGATGTAACTCTAAGAAAAACTGCCCCGAAGCTGCAAAATATCACGATATTTATTAAATTAATGATAACTAGAGTTTACACATAGCTCATAGAAACTGGAAATATTTAGCTTAAACAACTTAATGACTGATTAGCATGGGGAAAATGCTCCAGGCGGTTACACACTATCGATCACTCAATTGATTTTGTTAGGTCCTCTTAATCATTTTGTAGTATTACAGGAAAGGGTTTCACTTCCTTGTTAACTTCCCATAATCGTCACAGCACTCCACAGAACTCAATGAATGACTTGGGTTTGGGTTCATCCCCAGAAGAGGTACTAAAATATTTGCCCTGGGTTGAGAAGCAGTTGTAATTTATGACTCTCATTTAAGTGTCTCTGTCATATCTGATGTATTACTTCCGAAGCCCAGTGGGTTTTCTGTCCCTGTTGGGTTCATTATGCATTCAGACATTGAGAAGACACTTCACAGTGTCTGTTGTTTAATATGGGTGACCAGTAATTAAGGGAATCTCATCATTTTCTTATAGATCCAAAATAAGCAAATAGCACTTTGAAAACAAAGGATTAATGAGACGTCCTTTCCTTAAATACATGTACATAAATTATAATAATATTGGTGAACAGGCACTAACAGAAAACTGGAACAATACCAGGTATAGCTCCTAGAACTCCATATATTTGCAAAGTGATATCACTATCTTATTCAATCCTTACAATAACACTTTTATGTAAGAGGAGCAAATATTTTTTGCCTCTTTTACAGATAAAGAAACCATCCCTCAATGATCATTTTGTTTCCAACTTAATAGATTTGCCCACTAAGTCACAGGCATCAGTCTATTCATGTCCTTATAGAGATATGATTCAGTTTCTCTTGGCTTTTATATAGCAGACAGTGGGCCAGAGGCCCTCAAATTTCACAATAAAGAACAAAAACCCCGCATTACGTCATCTTAAAAATCAATGTAAACGTTTTCCATCAAAATTAAAATTTAATAAAATGTGACAACAATCTGGAAGTGCAAAAATGACATTTTAAAATCAGAACACTAAGGGAGCCAAGTAAACTTGTATTTTACAGCAAAGAGGCCATGTACAGTAGAGAAATTAAACATTTTGGTGTGGCATAGTCACTTAGATTACTTATTATAGTGTAAGCTCTTATAATATTAGCACGAAATAGTTTTAGCTCACTGTAAAAGATAACAATTCTCCTGGAATATTTTAAGCATCTCAATATTTTTGACCAATACTTAGATGTTATATTGCTTTTCATGTAGTGAGTGAAATTACGATATTAACTTAAATACAAATGCTGATTCTATCGACGCTAATTAAGTCCCTCCCAATTATCACCGAGCTCTGATGAACACTAGTAAACAAAATTATTTGCTCGCTGCTAAATTTACAGATATGTTTCTTGTGTTAATAGTTTGTAAATGTTCTTTTAGAAATAAAGTGGTCCGAGAATGTGAACTTTTTGATTTGTGAGCATAAGGTGAATTTGCTTTAGATTAAATTATTCTTTAAAAAGGAAACCATTTATGGTGAGATTTCAGCATACTAACCACAGCTGGAATGTAAGTTCTGTGTTGGGTGGGACTTTGTTTTTTAAACACTTACTCCTTGGTGCCCAGAACCATACCTGGCATACAGGAGCCCTTTGGTCAAATGCATCAATTTTGAATGAATAAAAACTTACTACAACTGTATATAAATCACTGTAATTCAGGGACAGATCAAAAGGTCACTGAATAAGATATGTAGTCATAAATTTTTAAGTTACAAAACAGAACAAGAGTTTGTTTAGTGGGAAT